CTACAGAACTGGCATCAGGACTGTCTGGCTGCACTGCTCATGGGATGACTAAGGACACCACTACCTACGGCACCAACACAAATTACCCCTAGGAGGCCCAACCTACATCTTCAGCATATTTCATCTCAACATAAAGAGGATCAATCACAGAAAGAGACAGGGGCAGAGCAGCAGGAAGGCTTAGTTAAGAGACAGGAGCTCTGCAGAGGTTAGAACAAGGTCTGGAAGACTAAGCAGACCTCCACAGAGACTTGACCTTTAAACATCCATTTATAGCTTTAGAGGTATATATTGGTCAGTGAGTACAGCATTGTAAATTGTTTTATGGGTTATGGTTTGCTGTTAATTGTTTATAATAAGTTAAAATCTTTTCCTGTTTGTTATAAAGAGAAATGTGGAGTGGTCTGGTCCTTCAGACCTACTGGAGAGGACCAAAGGTCTGTTTTAGGGGGACAGTAATAAAGATTGAACAGCCCTGGAGGAGGGGCAGATTACAACATGCCCCACACCCTCCTGGAGTGCCACTCTGACCCCTTCCCCTGCCTAACCTGCTGCTCTGTTTTCTGCCCCCTGCCCTAACTACTACTGTGTCCCTGCTCCCTCCCTGCTTCACATAGCACACACAGAGGATGCCTGTGCCACTTGTGGCATGCATGCCATTGGTTTGCCATGCCTGGACCAGCCAAGGGCTGAATGGAAAGCTTTCAAGCAAAACAGCAAGCAGCAGCACAAGACAAATACCATGTAGGATAGTGGCACCTCCTGGCAGAAGTATATTATATTTGTACATCATACTCAGTACATAATACCCAGGCACAACCATTTCCTCCAGGAGTAGGACAGTGGAAGCTGGAGAGATTCCTACAGCCACAGTGAAGACCTCTCTGATTTAATGATGGCTTTTTGTATAATTGTTGCATGGCTACAGTTTCCAGTCTACTCAGAGCCCCCATCCACTGTGGATGGCTAGGGGGGGCAGAATAGCATTGCTCCAGGGGCTAAGCAACCATGGTGCATTTCCAGAGATGGCACATAGCTCTCCTGAGCATGGTCTGTGGGCATGTAGGAATTTTGCCTAGCTCCAGCAGAGCTGTGTAGTGTACTTATGTGCATAACTGGTCATCTGCAAGTTTGTGTTCCCCAGAGTCAGTGTCACTAGGTGCCCTGGGATTGTGTCCCGCAGGACTAGGAGGTGCCCCCAGTTGTGGAACATATCCAGATCCTAGGAGGAGGGCAGGGGTGTAAGGTGCACGTTGGGAAATGCCAGGGATGGCCCTAGGGAACTCCAGCATGTGCCACGTATGGGTTAGTCATGGATGCTAGTATCTATTTGTGGATAACAAACTTGGCTGTGCTCCTTGTCACTAAGAACAAAGGCCTGGAGTATCTTGTACTAGTGAGGTCATTAGGGGCAAAGTATCACAGGTGGTATCCTGGCGGTGCCTTCACAGGCCATCCAAACTGAGGGAGCCTGATGTGACTGGTAGTGCCTAAACCCCTAACAACAAGTAATGGAGTCAGACAACAGCAGCAATGGAGTCTGCCCTGACAATACCAAAGTCCTACGTTCTGTTACCCCCAGTTCACGTGCCTCCAGCCCTACGTGTCAAGTTGTTGTTCTTGGTCCCTCCGTGTATGACTTTGCACTGTTAAACTTCATTCCCTTCCTTAGGCTCCATTCCAAAAGATATCAAAATCTCCCTGCATAATAATCTGGATCTCTTCCACATTGGCAATACCCGACAGCTCAGTGCCATCAGCAAATTTCATGAGGACACTTCTAACGTCAGTGCTAGAGTCACTTACAAAAAATGTCAAGCAGAATAGGCCTATGACTGATCCCTGAAGAACACCACTGGTAACCACCCTCCAGAAAAGGTATTTCACTTTTCATCATAACCTATGTAGTCCCCGTATGAGCCAGCTTTTTACTGACTTTGCAAAAGTAGCAGTGATTCCCAGTCCCCTTCAATATAGCCAATAACTTGAAGATACACTGTGCCAAAAGCTTTACTTAGTGCTAGATAAATTAAATCCACTGGATTGCCCTATCCAAGGAGTCTGTTAACCTTGACACAGAAGGAGAGTATATTAGTTTGCACAATCTTCCTATAAACCAATGTTGTATTTTGTCCCGTTTTTCATGTATTTCCATATCTTTGACTATTCTTGAAGTATCTAAAATTTTTACATATTATTGAAGTCAAGTTAACAAGACTCTAATTACCTGGGTTACAGTACCCCATAATAGCTAATGAACTACTATTATTACTATTATTCAGCAACAGCATCATGCTGATCTTTATATCCTGCCCTATCTAGACAGGCTTACACATCACATTCCTCCACTCTCTGCTAAAAATACTAAAATTAGATAGCATCGAAACACACACAAATGAAAGGAAATATAAATATTTCAGTAACCAGGTTGAAAGTTGCAAGCACATATGGTTGTAATGGGTCCAGGCCCAGGTGGATGTAATCAAGCAATTATCTGATCAGACCCCACCAGGCTGTATAAGCTCAGACCAGACAGGAGAGAACTGTCTGGGCAGCAGACTGCTTGGCTGCATCTCTGTCTGGCTTAGAGGTCCTCACCCTGATTTTGTGCTCTGGATTGGATCCTCCTGCCTTATTCTGCTTGCTCCTGCTCATCTTGGACCTCCAAGCCTGCATCAACCATGTGCCCTGACCATGACCATCTCAGTCCTCAGCCTTGACTTGGACTGATACCAGCTTGACCTTGGCTCGCAACCTTCCCCTGACCTAGAATGCTCCATTCAGACTGGCTGCTATGAGCCAGTTTGCCCAGAGCAAAAAAACAAATGCCAGGGAACATAGTCCTCTGGCCACATGAAGCCCTTTCTGGAAGGCTTTGGCCAACTGAGGCTAGGACTAGGGTCCTACATGCCCAAGTGCAGGCCTTAGGACTGTAGCAGCCTTTAAAAAATTTTAAAGGGCAAGTGAATCTGTTTGGGAGCAGCCCTGTTGGGAGTGGGAGGGGTGATGTAACCCCAGCAAAGTTTTGAAAGAGAGCCCTTAGCAAAAGCCTGGGAAAGGCCCTGAGCTGGGATTGGTTGAAAGGCTTGGATAAAAGGGGGAGCAGTTTTTCCTGCGGGGGGAACAAGAGGGAGAGAGGGGGCTGA